GGCCATATGAATCATCTTCACAGGGCACGGGCAGCGGGGAGCAGGATGAAGAGCGGGTCTGCATGGGACAAATGGATGACATCCAGTATACTCATTTTCCATCATTCCTTCCCCTAGTCATCTTCAAGGCTCCGGCTTTATTCCTAGGGACTCAAGACAGGGATGAGGCCCAAACCAGTGAACCTCTCACCTTTACACCCACTCAGCCATCATGTCCTGATCACTTTTACTTCTATATATATTTTTTATTGATTTTTTACAGAGAGGAAGGGAGAGGAATAGAGAGTCAGAAACATCGATGAGAGAGAAACATCGGTCAGCTCCCTCCTGCACAACCCCACTGGGGATGTGCCCGCAACCAAGGTACATGCCCTTGACCAGAATTGAACCCGGGACCCCTCAGTCCGCAGGCCAACGCTCTATCCACTGAGCCAAACCGGTTAGGGTCACTTTTACTTCTTAAATTCCATTTCCTCTATCTCCACTGAACTACATAAAGCCTTTTAACTAATATCTTTGCCTCTTTTAAAATATATATTTTTATTGATTTCAGAGAGGAAGGGAGAGAGAGAGAGAGAAACATCAATGATGAAAGAGAATCATTGATTAGCTGCCTCCTGCACTCCTCGCACTGGGAATCGAGCCCACAACCTGGGCAAGTGCCCTGATCTGGGATTGAATTGTGACCTCCTGATTCATAGGTCGATGCTCAACCAGTGAGCCACACGGTAGTCTCTCTTTATATCTCTCCAGTTTCAACCTGTATGTTGCCTCCAAATTGATCTTCCTACTAATCTCACTCCTTACCTTTGACTCTTCAGAACCTGATTTCTTTCTCTTCCACTATTTGCTAATGTAAGGATTAAAAATGTTAACACAATGCCATGCATATAGTTAATACTCAGTGTTTATTGAGCTATTTTTAATATCCCAACTAAGTTGTTCCACCCCCTGAATATCACCTATATTTTATTCCTTCCATATCCTCTGCTTCCCTAGATTCAAGTTCTTCAGGTGTGAGTCGTCCCCCCGCCCCGCGCCCCCCCCCATCTAACCAGCTCCTCAGCCTCTAATTATCCATCTCAAAAGCCTTGTTCTCCTTGCCTCTAGCCTAAGAGGAAGTGATGTTTCTTTCCTAGACTGGAAAAGCTCCCTGTGTTTTCTACCCCATTTCTTCCTGGGGAAGGTACCCAGTTTCCTTTGTTCTGTCAGCTGGCCCTTGCCTGGCCCCTTTCACCTCCCCTGACTCTTGCCTTCACCTTCCAAAAGACATAGGCCTCGCCCTAGTCAGTTTGGCTCAGTGAATAACGCATCAGCCTGTGGACTGAAGGGTCTCGGGTTCAATTCAGGTCAAGGGCATGTACCTCTGTTGCTGGCTTGATCCTCAGCCCTAGTTGGGGCATGTGTGGGAGGCAACCAATCAATGTGTCTCTCTCTCATCTATGCTTTTTTCTTTCTCTGTCCCTCTCCTCTCTTCTATTCTCTCTAAAAATCCATGGAAAAATATCCTTGGATGAGGATTAACAACAACAAAAAAAGACATAGGACTCTTGGTGCTATTATTCCCTCAAACTCCCATTGCACTGCCCCTTTTCCACTCCCAGATCTCTCACACAAATAGGCCGTGCTGCTGCCTTCGTATTCTCCCCACCCTTCTTTCTTCGACCTTTCCAATTGGAACCCGAGCACCCACTCTCCTGATCCCTCTCTCTCCAAGGTCACCAATGATTTGTTTCTCAATAGCTATATCTGACCTCTTCTGTCATCATTCTGCTTAACTATTTTGCATCATATTAGAATTCTTCCCATTTCAAGGTCCATGTCAATATAATCTGGCTTCTTTCATTCCTTTATTTTGAAATTATGAATTCCTTGAGGTTGTACCCTTATTTACCCTATCCTTATTCTCTGCAGTTAACCCTACTCCAGAAGCTGCAAACTGCTGGCCATGTCCCACCCTCAGATATGTTTTGTTTGGC